AGTGAATCTTCATTACATCTATTATTATTTACAGTCATCTACATTTACAAGCCAAGTAATGTTTTCATAGAAAAAGTCTTTGACATTTTTTCCGCAATGAAGCCAAAAGTTAGCTTTCAAATAGCGACTTTCCACATAAAAATGCGATACACTTTTATTAGAGCTATATGTATGTCAACTATGCTTACTATTTTGCTTTAACACATTTACTATTAAATACCGTCGGTGCGTATGAGTAACGTAAAAAAAGGCAGTATGTAGTTATACATATATGTGGATACATTCATTTAGGAGTATATGTATGTATGCGCGTATAACATTCTCCAAATTTGTTATATTATATCCCACAATACGCACCCGGCACAGGCACATATAACATATATTTTTATTTGTTCAGCTGGACGTGTGAAATGCAGAGAATTTCCGAATTTTTCTTACTTTGTTCTTTTGATTGCTATGCGGTTTCGCGTTGTAAAACCTTATACGAGTACCGGGCCTTGTTTTATATGAAATGTTCTTTATGGTTCTTTATTTCGCCGTGTCAACATTTCTTTTAGTTATTTGCCAGCTGGCGTCTTAAGTAAAATATGTATGCAGTAAAGTTCGGACATCGCAATGAAATGACCGCTAGGCAATTGGTGTGAATCAGGGATGTTTCGTATGTCGAATTCGAATGCGAATGCGATTGTGCGAATGTTAGGAATAGCATTAAAAAAGCTATAGTCAACTTAAGTCATCATTTTTATTACTTAAAATTTTTTTTAATTATTAGAACATTGAACGAGTGAACGAGTGAAAAGGGGCATATTATATTTCAAAAAAGTAATTTTGCTGCCTTTACTCCCATGAGGCGATTTCTTAGAGGCGCGTATATAAGGCCAGCTGCACTGTACAATTGCTCACTTGATTCGAATGCGAATGTGTTATATGATGCGAATTATTCGAATAACGAATGCGAATTATTCGCATAACGAATGCGAATGCAAATATACGCAACATCCCTGGAGTGAATAGTACACAGGCCCTGTGTCTTGGTTATTTTGTAGACTCACGCTAATATTGTCGGCAATGTTGCTTTAGGCAAGTTAATTGCATGCAAATATTGGCGATTTTACATACTTATTCATGCAAAACTTCGTTTTTATCGTAACAGACGCGTAGCGGACATTTGAAATTCTTGTCGGTCATTTGTTTCCTTTAAGTACGTATGCAGGCTTAAGTAGCAGGAATATTTAGGGAAATTTTCGGCGGAGGTTTTTGGTTAACATTTTTTTCTTTTACCGTTTTGAAATTGTATTATTTTATTGCTGTAAAATGAGCTTTGCATTTGCAACTTTTTATTGAATATTGAATGAGATTCATTTTTCATGTGGCTCAGAAGCTATTGTCCTGTATACTGATGAAATAAAAGATGGTGGAATTGTACCAATCAAAGTTCAAGCTCACCGCCCACACTCACTTATTTATACGAGTGGTTAGAGCAAATCTGTTAACCACATTTAAACAACCGCTAAGTAAAGCTGCAGTGAGAAGTCCTTAAGCAGTTAGAAGTGGTGAGCGATTCAGTGCAAAGTTCAACTCATTGACTCACTTAATAAATAAATATGTATATGGCACTGTAATGGAAGAAAACGACCTTACTTATTCGTCTTTGCGTTACGCTTAATAGCTCAAAATATTAGTATCGTGCAGACTAAATAAGTAGTGTGGATTACATACATACTATTTAGGTACAGGTTCATATACATACATACATATCTATGTTTGTCATAAAAAGTGTGTGTTGCGCAGTTTTCTAATAAGAGTAGTTTAACTTGGCAACTTTTACTCACTCACGCCATTAACATGAATTTATTGGCAAAAGTCGCGCTAAGGCAAAGAAGTTTTTTTGCTGTCGTAAAATGTTTGCAGTCTTAAATATTTAATAAGCGACAATCGTAAAACAAGCGCAATTAAATTATTATTACAGTTATTTATTATAACGCACGTGTTCATTATAACAAAATACATAAAATTTCAGCAATTGAAGGTAACTTGATTTTAGGGCAGAAATTGTGTATCTATGTACATAAATGTGTGAGTGGGTTTTTTCTACAAGTTATCGGGATTATGACTAGGCACAATCACAATCGAGGCAGTCAGTGAGTAGGATTTCGTCATAAATCTACGGTTACTAAATTTACATATCAAATTTGTAAGAAAATTTAATAAAAAAATAAATGTTAACCTAGGGCAGAACTTTCAGCAGAAGATGCACAGAAGGCTTATGCTGGATTTCCACTAGGCATTAAATGGCAAAAATAACAAATGACAAATTCGGGCATTAAAAAATAATCGTGTCATTACATAAAAAAATAGGCAATAGGTTCATTCCCCCATGGCATTTTTTTAAATGGCATACATTTTTTGTCATTTCAATGCCTAGTGGAAATTCGGCATAACTCTTCACCA